TGATTACGAAGTATGGTTGTATTACATCTATACGGACAATCACAAGTAGCGTTGCCTCATTCGATGTCAAGATTATTTTTGGCAAAGATAAGTTGGTATGGAATGTGATGATATTCTGGCGACAAGAAAAGACACATTCGATCTACAATTTATTCATGTGGTGATGTACTAACATCTGAAAGTGTCCATTCAAGAAACGACCTCTAAGCAGACAAAGAAACTAAGACAAGAGACAGCTTTCACAGTTACTATTACGTTTAAACATGATATTTTATTGATGGTCCAAATGAGCGCAAAAATACAAAAATAAAATAAACACCCGCCCGGACCCGTTCAATCCGTTTGGAAGTGAATGGTAGCGAAAAAAATCCCTTATAGGTACAAGGGTAAAAAATGTAAACGGAAATTAATAAGTAGGGTTATGAATGAAAAGTTAAATAAATTGCGTTAACCATACAGGAAGCTTTTGACTATGGGGATGCTTAGTAGAGATCAATTTGTTATGGTGTAGCTGATCTAATTCATGTAGTAGGGAGCATATAATTGGCCATCGTTGAGATCAGATTAGGACTAGGTTTGGGGGAACCGAAGGGCGTAAAGGAAGCATATTCGGAATGAATGACAATGGATCGCGTATAGTTGCAGGCATGGATAGACGTCGATGCATATCAAGGCAACTAGTAGCGTGATTCTTAGATAGCTGCTGCATTGGATGCTTAGGACATGGTCGAGGTTTACCACCAGGAAGCCAGCCTAATCTCCAGCGTACACAGCGACTACGCTCTGACTTAGACATGGGAAACTAGAGTATAGGCTCCCGAGATATCGATCAACGGCAGCTAGAAAGCAGTTTGGAGTTTTGGCATCGTTGGCGGATCTCTATATCCCGTTGCAAAAAGCGCCATTTAGCAGCCTTGAGTGATCGAGTATCGGGTTCCTCAGTAGTAGACAGCATCGTTTTCCAAAGCGATGTATGAGAGAGAGCATACCACTGGTTTCCTCTGGTATTGCGGATATAAGGTAACCGACAAGCAAGCAGTGCATCTTCTGGCAAATATAAAGAACGAAAGAGGAACTGTGTCTGTAGTATACTGACTCGTTCCGGCACGAGGGGTAGCTTGGACATGTGGAGCATAACCTTAGTGGACGCTTTGCCTCGAGCACTGTAGATTTTCTTGATGCGACTATTCTGGGCTTGTGTTAGGAGTTGTTGATGGGAGAAATGATAGAATCTCCAAGGCCGTCTGATTATCCAGGGAAGGTGGCAAATGCAAACGGTGAATTAATGTATCAGCTATTGTGAAGGAAAGTTGATACTGAACAAAAGAAGAATCACGAGAGGGCAAATGATGGATGTGGTACGGACAGTTAGGATTTACCAACATACATATACCTTGTGCGCCTCTGTTATTATAGCACTCAATAGGTATACCATACGTATGAAATTGTTTCCAATTTGTTGGGTATCTTGCAGGTAGGAGTAGCCAAGTTTCAGTGATTAAAAGGACGGATATTGGTTGTGCTGCGCCAATAATAGGTATAATGGCATGCCTGAGTAGGTCAGTGGCGTTGAAAAGTGTAATTGTTAAGTGGTTCATAAGGGTGTAGTGTCGGTGTTGATGGATTCATGGAATACATCGTCCGCGATGTTCATGGTGATATCGTCAGATTGGAAGTTGTCGGCAGCTTGGTCGGATACTTTACGACTGCTAGATAAGGTTTCTTGTAAAAGTATTTTACTGATCCATCTTTTAGAGCATAAGAATCGAGCAACAGCCTATTTAATGGGGGCGTGAGTGTAGCTCAGGGCGCATGCCATACGGTCACTGTGGTGCATGAGGGCTAAAATGGTTCTTTCTTCAGGTGAAAGATCGGCGTGTTTAGGATCTCGCAAGACCTTGGGATCACAAGGATCAAAATCATCCTTAAAGGTAACTTTAAAGCGTCCTAATTGTTTACGAAGCTCATTCACATAATCATTATGCACAAGTAACGCAACAACATTGCGGCCTGAATAGTGTATATCCAATATGCGGTTGTTCGTAATATCGAGTCTTCTCAAACGAGTACGAATCTGGCCGATAGGACTCATGCTTTAGTTGGCAAATATACGTATTGAAATCCTTGATTTTCAGATGGTGGTTGTAGGAAACGTGCGGCTGCTTCTTGCCATTGCAATCGACGTTGTTGTTCATGCTCTGTAAGACTACGCTTGATTTCGGAAATACGCTGAGGGTTATGCCATGGAGGTGTTTGGGAGGGTAGTGCAAGAAAATCTTTGGAGCTGAGATATTTGTCATCTTCGTGATGGTTGGGTTGATTCATATTCGTAGATTGCTGTATCGCTTGTTCCTGAAGTTGGGCCACCTGTTGACGTAAGTTGGCTATCTCTGCATAGGCTGCTGCAAGTTCGGTTGAGAGGCGTTTAATTATGTCCAGTAAAGGCTGCATGTCGTGTGGCCG